CCATGGCCGCGCCGAGCTCCCTGGAGGCCGTGAAGAGGAAGATCCAGTGCCTGCAGCAACAGGCGGATGAGGCGGAGGATCGCGCCCAGGTCCTCCAGCGGGAGCTGGACCTGGAACGGGACCTGCGGGAGAAAGTGAGACCGCCCGGGCTGCCTGCTCGCCTCTCTCGGTCGCTCTCTCCCGGGCTGCCCTGCTCCTTCCTTCCTGTCTCTGGCTCTCTCTGCCCGGGGCGGGCCTGGCTCTCCCTGCGGAAACCGCTGGCGCTGCCGCAGCGCCTCGCCCCGCACCGGCCTCCGGGGGCGCCGGGCACGGCTCGGCCCCCGGGCGCCCCGCTGCTTTCTCGCGCTTTGGGGCCGCTCCCTTCGGAAAAGGCGATGCGAGCACCGATCGGCATCGGGAAGCGGTTGCGAGTTTAGTAGGAAATGGCTGTTTAATTAGGAAAAAGCGCTGCATGACAACGAGCGGGGAGTTCCCGCCTCTCGGCGCCGCACCGCTGGCTCCAGCACAGCTGGGAAATGTCCGTACTGCTGGAAAATAACTTTCCCTCCTGGTTTTCACAGAGAAATTAGAACTCTCCACTAGTGTGCGGCTCTCCCGGGGCCGGACAGCTGGTTTCACTTAGATTTGTGTGTGATCAGCCTTCCCGGCATCTTCCTGCTATTTTATCACATGTCAGCGAGTTAGTTTTACCGTATAAGGACTGCGGGCTGCTTCTGGGAGAGGTGGAGCCAGACGAACTCCAGCTTCCCAGTGGCCCCGTCTCCATAGCTCTGGAATCTTGCTTAATTAAAATAAAATACGACTTAAAAGTGTCCTCCTGTCTAGTGGAAGGATTTGCAGGCTGCCACATAACAGACGCCAGATTTCTACGTGATCGATGCCCTGTGTGTAAATTGAGCAAGTTAAACACATATCAGTGGGTAGAAAACAAATGAAATGCCGGATAATTTATGACTAGAGGAATCCTGGGTCAGCTTCCATTTGGATCAGCCACTGGAATCCTTTCCAAGATGGTACAGCTCTGGCTGGAAACCACTTCCTCCAAGTTTAGGAGGAGCGGTCACTAACCAAATTTGCAAAGCTGTAGCAAAACAAGTATTTTTTTCGAAGAGTTTACCATAAAGCATAAAACAAATACCCTTCCAGGATCTGTAGCCTGCAAAAGTTGTTTTTTGGGTTTTTTTAGGAGAAAAAAAAAAAAGATAATCTTATACATGGCAATCCTGCTCAGACTTGGGGACAGTTAAGTGGGCAAACCTGGCAGTTATTAAAGTTGGGCTTTATTTTCTTTCAAATAACAATCAATTAAAGCAGCCATATCTTAATAAACACAATTTATTTATGGACACCAATTTGTTAATATTGTCTGCACACGAACATGTCTCCCAACCTCTCCATTTATCTTCTAGTCTATTTGTTAAACGTTAATAGTGTTTCCAATTACCGTGCAGTTTATTTGATAATATATAAACAGACCTTATTATTAAGAAATGCTTTCTGCCTAATTCCTTAAGTACCACAGGAAGCAATGAAAAAGTGAGCTTATTTTAAGAACATATCTAATTTTGCCCTGTTTATGTTCCAAGAAGAGTGACTCTCCCATGCCAAAACCAACTGTATCTGCCCAGCTGACCACGTAAAGATTATATAGCATGTGTGGGCTGAGCAGCCCGTCATGGATAATGAAATGGCTTTAACTTGAGCTGTGTGCTGTGACAGGATATTGCTGCAGCCTGTGATGAAACCAAGAACAGAGAATTCGACTGTGAAGTTCTTGAAACGAGCCATTATGGCAACAGTTCAGTGTTTGGGTAGATCCAGCCCTGGGATCTGAAAATAGTTCTCCACTGGCAATGGGTGTCAAATCCTTTGTTGCATGGCAGGAATGATAAGTACCATTAAAAAAGAAACGAGAAGCACATAGTCGACACCTTGAAATTCCTGAGATGCCATAGTTTAAACAAACAAAAAGCAGAGACAGAAAGGTTCTTAGAACCTCACTATGTATACCAAGGAGAAGCCTTTGCAGTTTTAAGGAAAACTGATTAGTTGAGACATTTTTATGTAACCTCAGTCTGGGGGGGTTGTATTTCATACAGGCTGAAGGTGAGGTGGCAGCTCTGAACAGACGTATCCAGCTAGTGGAAGAGGAGTTGGATCGTGCCCAGGAACGGCTGGCCACAGCCTTGCAGAAACTGGAGGAGGCTGAGAAAGCAGCGGATGAGAGCGAGAGGTACATTTCCTTTTTTTTTTTTTCCCTCGGGGGGGGGGGGGGGGCCTGTAAAAAATGGAATGTATACATATCTGCATGTGTTATTGTGGATTGCGGGTCAGAGACCCAGAACTTTTTTTATAAGCTTGAATGAGTAATTCTGGTAGCCTTGAAGAACATGATAGTATGGTCATAATGAGCCACTTTTTGGTTACAAATATTGAAATCCGCTTTAGGACCTTTGAGATAAAAGTGCTTCTACATTAAACACACTCGCTTTGACTTCTGCAGAGGAATGAAGGTTATCGAGAACAGAGCAATGAAAGATGAAGAGAAAATGGAAATTCAAGAAATGCAACTGAAGGAGGCTAAGCATATTGCTGAAGAAGCTGACCGCAAATATGAAGAGGTAAAAGGGACAAGGAAATTATTAAACAGGGGAAAACCATGAACAAGTTTGTTACTCTTGTTTAGTCATTTTTGTATGCTTTTCACTGTGGGATGGTTTGACTTCGGAATGTTCCCAAATAGGAGTAATTTCAATAGTGACTTTGCAGCATTCTAAATATTTAATGCTAAAATCACTTCAAAATCTAACTTACTTGGGGAAAAAGCCTGTGATGTCTGTGCATGTATATTTTAATCTAATTCCATCACTCGGAAAGCACGAGCGTAGTGCTCTGAGAGAAATGTGTATGAAGTTACAGACTGGCTTGATACAGCTGTGTTCTCTTCACAGGTCGCCCGTAAACTGGTTATTTTGGAGGGTGAACTGGAAAGAGCCGAAGAGCGTGCAGAGGTGTCTGAAGTGTGAGTAACTTCACATGCACGGAAGCAGTCAGGGTACAGTAAAGGTCAAAGCTGTATTGAATTAGAAAAATCTACTACTGGTGGGCAGGCATGGAGTATACGTAGAAAAGCTTTTCTTACCCTGTATACCAAACTTTCTCCTTTCAGACTATCATTACTTCATCCCTTATTTAAGTCACAATAGGAACAGCAGTAATTTATACTTCTGTTTTTCCCTACAGTAAATGTAGCGACCTTGAAGAGGAGTTAAAGAATGTCACTAACAACCTGAAGTCTTTGGAAGCTCAATCTGAAAAGGTTGGTTCTTTCTGTAAACTAAGGGATAGAGGCAAAGTCAAAACTTGCAAATCAAATTCCTAGAAATAATCCAGAAACACAAAGAAAGTGAGAGGGTTTAGTTGGGTGTAACAGAAACTGTTGATGAGGCTGAATCAGTTCTGCCCAAACCCATGTCAGTAACCTGAAGATCATCTGCGACACTGCTTCAGGCCAGGACCCAAATCTCCCATTTCCCACACCTGCCAACTGCTCTCGGTTTTCTGATCTCACTCTTTTTGTGGTTTTTGCCTTCTTACTATTGAAAATGGTTAAAACTTGATTTCATTAAAGAGTTGTTTCCGGCTGGTTAAATTAGCATGAAAGGCTTCACATTCTTCTGCACATTCAGCTGTTTCTGTGCCACAGAAAGTGAGGCCATTAAGGTGTAAGATGATACATGAAGGAACTTGGACATCCCCAGTCTTAAAACGACAGTTTCTGAACCTGAAATGTCTTGGTGAAGAGGAGAAAATTATGGAAAGGGTGTTTGCAGCTGCTGTAAAAGTGGTTATAAATAGATCACGGTTTCATAAACATTTTTTATTGTTGCTACAACTTCACTTAAAGAGTGTTTATTGCTTTCACAGTACTCGGAAAAAGAAGATAAATACGAAGAAGAAATCAAGATACTCTCTGACAAGCTTAAAGAAGTAAGTTTATCCATCCCCAAACTGTATTTTGGCATCTTTTTTTAATGCTATCCAGTTACTCTATGTTTTTTTGTTGTTTTTAGGCTGAAACTCGTGCTGAATTTGCAGAGAGAACAGTTGCCAAACTGGAAAAGTCCATTGATGACCTGGAAGGTATGGAATGACTCGCGTTTCATTTCAAAGGGGTCAATTTCCATTCAGAAAACAAAACTGTAGGAGTGGATATTGAATTTATTGGGAAAGGCCGAGCGTGTTGGTAGATGAGTGTGATATGTCCCCCGGTCAGGCCCATCCTGTGTGGCACCTCCTGGCTGGAGGAAGTTTTCCTGGAAGAGGTTCTTGTTGGGAAAGGTGGTCACAACGACCTGCTTTTGGCAACTCCCAGATACAGGGCCTCAAGGGCTCCTTCCATCAGTAAGATCAGAGCCGCACTTAATCTGATTACTGGAAAATAATTCTGTGAGGTTAAAAGGAACTAGAGATGAAGCTTCTGGCCTGGCAGCTTTGTGGATTTTTGTCTTTCATACCGCTCCTCAGTTACACATCTGTTTTCTTCTTTTGTTTTCCTCCCCAACTGCTTTGGCTGCTGCCTTCTGACTGTCTCCGTGTCTCCTCCTGTGCGCCTCTTCTCTGGACTGTTTCTCTGCATTTCTTGCTGAAACGTGCCCTGGTGACCGGCAGACGAGCTGTACGCTCAGAAGCTGAAGTACAAAGCGATCAGTGAGGAGCTTGACCATGCCCTCAATGACATGACCTCTTTGTGATCCGCGCCGGGGGCCAGGGCTGCTCTGACTCGCTGCATTTCTTTACGCTTTTCTGGCCTGTAGCACCTCTCGCTCTGCGACTGCCACAAGCGATCTTTCCACCTCCTCTGTACGAGCCGAGCTCAATAAAAACAAGATACCTCCACCTTCCAGCTTGGGTTTATTTCCTTATAAATCACCTAAAATACACTAGTAGTGACATGAAAATAGTCAGCTCCTCACGCTGGGGAGAGGTAGGTGCAGTCACAACAGGTGTCCCCAGCCGCCGGGGCGGGGCAAACGCCTGAATTTTGGTGTTCCCAAGGCTGCGTGTGTCAGCAAAAAGCTGAGAGGGCGCTGGGTGCACGGTCCTGGGGCTCCAACCACCTGCCTGAAAACTCTCAGGACATAGAAAACTCTGAAGGACGTGTCCCGTAAATCCCGTTCAACCAAAACACAAGTCTGTCACGTGACATGTGAGACAGGTCCAAAAACCTCTCTAAAGGAGAGCAATTACTGAAAAAACTGGCCCCGTTTTGCGGATGCAGTTACAGTGTTGTTTTGAACGTGAAGGTAAGTAATCACGGGGTTTATTTCAAGGCAAAAGGCTGTAAAATAATGTGGTTTGACTCTTGGTGTTTTTTCTTTTTTCTCACTAGAAAAACTTGCTCAAGCGAAAGAGGAGAACTTGGGGCTGCATCAGACACTGGACCAGACACTAAACGAACTGAACTGTATATGAAATGGCAAAAGAACTGCAACGGCCAACAGAAACGGAAACCTGTATCTGCATTTACCGTATCCTTCCTCTCTCTCTCTCCTTCTCTCTCTGTAACCTGGAAAAAAAAACGATTAAGTTATGACCAGCACAGACGTCCGCTGGGCCTCGGGCGGGCGGCGCGGGCGGTCCCACGCCCCCCGGGCCCGGTCGACGCTGCTGCAGCGGGCAGGCGAGCGCGAGCCGGGGCGGCGGGAGCTGCCCCCGAGCCTCCCTCCCGCGGG